AAAATATAGCTAACATAAAATCAGAGAGCTGGATAGGGACATAGGGTATCATTTATTTCAAGGGTGGGGAATCTGAGGTCCTCCAGATGCTGTTGAAATACAACTCCCAGACACCCTCACTATTGGCCATGTTGGCTGGAGCTGCCAAGAGTTCTAATTCAGAAACATCTGGTAAGCCAGATCCTACACTTCTTATAGGCAGATAAATCATTCGGTGTGCAGTATGTGTTGATTACAATTATTTATCTCTCACTTTCCTAATATAAAGGAATAGGTAGCACCAACACTTGTCAATAAAATCACAGCTAAATAGAGAGAGAGAGAGAGAGAGAGAGAGAGAGAGAGAGAGAGAGAGAGAGAGAGAGAGAGAGAGAGAGAGAGAGAGAGAGAGAGAGAGAGAGAGAGAGACTAACTATTGTCCTTCTCATAAGGAAGATTACTCTATGGTGTGAATAGAGAACCTATCTGAAGGTTTTAAAGCAGTAAGTGATTGCCTTCCTTCTCTCTTTCGGGTCCTCCTCAGAGATCAACTGCTGGTGATTGGGGTTGTGCAATATTTTGGAGGAAAAGGGTACCATGGAAAAGAGCTCTGGTGGCACAGTGGTTAGAATGCAAGTACTGCAGGCTAATTCTGCTGATTGCCAGGAGTTCAATTCTCACAGGCTCTGTCTTCTCTCCTTTTGAGGTCAGTAAAATGAGGACCCAGATTGTTGGGGGGCAATAGGCTGACTCTGTAAACCGCTTAGAGAGGGCTGCAAAGCACTGTGAAGAGGTATATAAGTCGAAGTGCTATTGCTACTTTGAATGTAGCATCTCTCTGCATCTGCTTAAAGCAGCTCCATCTTTGTCTAGGACCACATGGCTATAACTTAAATATGGGACAAAATGCAATAGCAGATAGCCACAAGTAGAATACTGGTAGTCCTCAGGTTATTGCAGTAATTGGTAATTTCATGATGGCTCAGGTCTCCAGAATTGGTTTCCAGCACCATGGTGGAATACACAACATACAAATACTACCAAGAATGTGCAGAATGCAGTTCCTGATCAAATTAACTACACCCTGTACTTAAAAATTTAACTTAATAAAGTTGTGTTCAAAGGGCAAGATGTTGATTTTTCACACTGTTTGTATCAAGGATACAAAAATTATCCCCTTCCTTAACCTCTGAGACAAAGTTACCCTTCCATTGTTGTCAATAATATTATCATTACACATGTGCTATTACTTATCATGATTAAAGTTACTCATGTTTGCTTTAAGGTAATATGAAGCCTAAAATGATATATAAATTGTATTTAGAGAGATTCTGATGCATAATCTGATCCAATGACAGACATAAATTCATTAAGGTTCTAACCAGCATTTTTCTAATAGAATATGCTCCTAAGGACATGTGAATAAGAATAAAAAATAAGGTAAAAAAGCTCTTCAAGAATAGCGAAGTGAATCATGCCTGTGCAGCCTCTCTGTGATCCTAGAGGGCCCTCTAGCTGTCAGAGGAATTCTGCAAAATGAAATGACACTAGATAGAAGATGCCCACAGCACCACAGGAGGAAAACAAAAAGCAAATCTGATCAAGCACGGATTAAAAACCTTTATTAAGCTTTACCATGTGTCAATAAGAATGGCAAAACAGACTATTTCTTCATTCTTATCATTCTCACAGCTGGCATCCAGCAACCCTCATAGCTGGCTATGTCTCTTCTTGGTAGAGAGGGACTGGGGCAGGAACACTAGGAGGACTACTGTAAGCATCTATTGATAAAGTTGATCAGATCCAGACTGGCTGATCATTAGAACTGGGCTGGCTGGGCAGGTCTTAGGAACTGACTTGAGGCATGGTCAACTATTGGCAAGAGTTTCATCTGATTGGTCCTAGGAAGTGGGCAGCATTCTTGGGACTGTGATTTCTGCCAGTCTGTGCTTTAGATTCACGTCTCTCCTGGCTGGTGGAGGCCTCTTGGGAAGTGATGCATGCTTGGATACAAGATATGGTGAACTCCTCTTTGCAGGATGAGATATTTGCATTTAAAGAGGGGGTTGTCTGTCCCCTTCCTAAGAGGCCATCCTTGGATCCAACAGTTCAGAATGATTTCTTTCCAATCTCCATCCTTCTCTTTTTAGAGTGGTTGTTTCACAGCTTCAAGGGATCCTGAAGAAAGCAGATTATCTGGACTCTTTCTAGTTAAGCTTCAGTCATTTCAAGTATTAATTCTATGTATTCTAAGACTGATAAAATATAAATATTATAAACACAAACAAAAGATATTCTTCTTCCTTGGATAAATATGATTATAGTCTTAAACCTGGAGCTGAAAATGGATTCTGGGGCTACTAGCTTTGTTTTGGATAGATATCTGCAATATGTCTGCAAATGAATTCCTACAACACTGCAAAATGTATTCATGCTATGTTATGTATCAGACCAGATCTCAGTACATTTTGTCCTAGGAGAATCAATTCTCCTTTCTCCATGAACCTCTACTGCAGCTCATATGTATATTTATCGTGAAACATTTTAAAGAAACTAATCTTGAAATCTTAAAATGGAGCCAGTACAGAAACAACTGTTGCCAAATAAAATATAAAATATGAAACTTAAATATAAAATTTTAAGAAGATATTGGATAACCATTTGTCTGAAATGGTATAGGGTTTCCTGCCTGAGCAGGGGGTTGGACTAGAAGACCTCTAAGGACCCTTCCAACTGTTTATTTTGTTCTGTTAAATAAAAAAAAGTAAGTAGCCAATTTGTCATTCAACCTAGAACTACAGCACCATCTTGTGGTGATCAGTTTATTACAGAATTAGAAATTCCAGTAAAATATATTACCTTTTCATAGTAAGAATTAATACTTTTTGTCAGTTAAGTAAGGATTCTATTTCAGCTTCATTGCACCAGCAAAAGAAATAGCATGCAAATTTCAGCAGAATATTGCTATTGTTGTGGGGAAAATAGGAAGAGGAAGGAGTATTAGATGTTCACCTGGAGTTTATAAAAATAATAAAAGTGGGGAATGAATGAATAAATGAATAAATAAATAAATAAATATCATAAAGGGCAAAAATGGTGGGGTTGAAGTTGTTCTGGAAGAGAGAAATAAGAACTGCAACAAAATGTTACACTCTATTTTCACATCAGCTAAAATGCTCCCATTCTGTACAAGTAGTCCTCCACTTACGACCATTCAAGTGACTATTGGAACTTACAGCAACAATAAAAAACAATGACTTACAACTGGTCTCCACACTTATGACCATTGCAACATCCTCACGGTCACATGATCAAAATTCAGATGCTTGGTGGCTGCTGGCATGTATTTATGATGGCTGCAGTGTCCCAGGGTCATGTGATCACCATTTGGGACCTTCTCAGCCAGCTTTCAACAAGCAAAGCCAATAGGGAAAGTCAGATGTACTTAATGACCATGTGATTCACTTAACTGCAGTGATTCTGTTAACAACTATGGCAAAAAAAGGTCATACAATTGGATACAACTCATTCAACAACTGCCTTGCAGGCAGCAGAAATTCCCATTCCAATTGTGGTCATAAGTAAAGAATTATCTGTATTTCAGATAGCTATTCCCTCTAGAATATATCCTTTCCTTCCATCCCCAATTTATAAAATGAACATCCAATTTTCTGCGGCTTTGGGGCCTACTGTGTTATTTCCCAATGCATTATTTTGATGCATTAGCTTACGCCCTTCAGATTTTTTTATGATACCTTATATGCATGGATTTTAGTAGGCAGCTTTGTCTTTTTCAATAGTCTGTTTTAAGTACTTAGCTGTTGATGTTTATCTCTTCAGTTAAATATCAGAGGAATGAGTTTCTTCTTATTAAAGACCACTTTTGCTCAGAAGACACCTGCAATGGAGTTCCATGATGGCAATTTAGGTTTTACTTATGATGGATTGATAAAATGTGTAAGCCAGGTTAGCATTTGAAGGATCTGAATGGCAAAATGAAAAATAATCATTTATAAAGCAAGTAACAATTACAAATTGATTAGCAAATATGGTTTTTATACATTTATGGCAGGGGTCCCTAAAGTCTTTAGTTCACGGGTGTCAAACTCGCCACATCACGTGATGTGTTACAACGTATTGCGACTTTTTGCATTGCCAGCAATGGGGTGGGCGCATCTTCGGTATGGTGAAACTTGCCCACGGACGGGCAGTTTGACACCCCTGCTTTAGTTCATCAATTCATTCATGAAATTTCAGATTGTTCACCAATCAACAAATATATGAAAAAAAATCCTACTTTAATAGTACTACAAATGATGATAACATCCACCTTTGAAAGTTAATTACTGATCATTTTGGAAAAACCTTGCTTTTTTTTATAAGGCATTAATCAACCACACTGATACTGTATAATTTTTTTTTTAAATTTTATTGATTTTTCAATTAAAAACAAAAACATAAATCTTTTATCACAATATCAGCCAAGAAACACTAATCAATACATTCACGGACGTGTCCGGTGTCCCCCCCCTGCACCCCCCTCTTTCACTTACCACACCTTCCTCCTCCCAATCCTACAACCTCTCCTCCTTCCTCCCTCTTTCCTACCTCCCTTCCTCTCTCAACCATCCCGTCTGGTGCAGTTGGGGTACCCACCGGACACCTCCTTAAAAAATAATACATATATATACTGTATAATTGACCTCCTGAAACATTTTTATTCACGCTCCTCTGTTCCTAGGACCCCCCGCCTCTCCTTCAGCTCCGCCTCTTCTCTTTCAATTTCCCGCTCTCCTTTTTGCAGCCAACCAGCGGAAACGACTCCGAACGACCAATCAGGGCTCTCTTTCCTCCCTCCGCCAGGGAAAGCGCCTCCTCTCGCCTCCCATAGGCGCGTGCGCACTCGTCCCTACGCCGCCTCGGAGGTGTGGGCAGGCCGGGGCCGTCGATCGGTTGGCGCGTTTGTTTGGGAGACCTTGGAGGCCCGGCTGGTCACGCGGGGCCAGAACGTTAGAGCCTCCATGAGCAGGTGTTGTCCACCTGTAGCCTCGGTGGTGAGGGGACTTCTCGGCTCCGTTTTTTTCTGCCTGACACGGACCATGAGCCTCCGTGGAAGTCCGGCTGCCTACCTGTCGGGGGCCGCGGGCAGCAGCAGCAGCAGCAGGGCGGGCTCTGACGAAGGAGGGAGCGGAGGGAGCGCCTTCTTCCTGCCCTCGACCTCTTCGCCGCGGCCGAGGCTGCTGCGGCTGTCGGAGGTGCCCGGCGCCGAGCCCTTCAAAGCCAATGACGTGCTGCTGCACCTGCCCCTTTCTGCCCCCGCAACGGGGCAGTCTCAGCATCACGTCGTCTACTTCCCGGGGGACGTGCAGGTAGGATCCGCGAGCGGCTTTTTTTCTTCGGATACGCAAAGCACGCCCGGAAACGCACCGCCTGCGGGCAACGCGGGGAGGGGGGAGGGGGTGACGCCGCGCGTTCGTGGGTTGGGAGACGCCCGGCCGTGGGGCTCGTGTGGGGCTCAGCCGCACGTGCGAACGCAGACCACGGGGGTGGGTGGAAGTAAACCAGGGCTCGGTGAGTGAACGCCGCAGTCCCTGAAAGGTTCCACGGCGTCGCCTGGTTCCGGCCGAAGATGCGGAGTGAGGCAACCCGAGAAATACATTTGGGTGTACAGACGCGGGCTTTCTCCCTAGGACAGTGTTTCTCAACCTTGACCATTTTAAGGCATGTGGACTTCAACTCCCAGAATTCCACAGCCAGCATTGCTGGCTGTGGAATTCTGGGAGTTGAAGTCCACATGCCTTAAAATGGTCGAGGTTGAGAAACACTGCCCTAGGACTTCTGTTCTAGAGTGACTTGTGCTTTGCTGGCAAAATTCAGGTCTTGGAATTAAAACTGAAAGGAAGAGGGATTTATGAATACGTTGGCCGGTGTTAAATCGGGTGGGTGTCATCAGAAGAAACCATGACCTCTTTTGTAGGCCACGATTGGCACTTAAAAATCTGCCATTTCACAGCTTTATGGGTATATCGTTGTAGATGCTCCTGAAATCAAGTCAAAACTCTTTTAAGAAATATGTTGGATCTATATCGGGTTTTTTTCTAATGGAGTCTGTAGATATCTTGCACAAATCTTATATTAACAGAAGTGGAGCTGAAAGCACCAGGGATCTTAACTGACTTTTGAGTTGATCTAGCTTGATTGTATCATTTTCAAGGTTTTCCTGTGGTGGCCATTATTTATTCTTATTCCATAGTAAAAGAAATGAGGCTGTTGTCTCTGTCATTGTGGGATATTTTTTTCCTGTGAATAAATTGATGGCAAGGAGAAAAAACATACCATTATTATAGTTACAGCCCAGCAAAATTATTTAAGCCAACTGAAATTAAAAACATATAATACCTAGTTCAGAAAAGGTTAAAACATAATGGAAGATCTAAGGATCTTTATATCATTGTAGAGAAATTGAGAGTTTCAGCTTTCTAAGATGAAAATTGAAATAGAAGATATTCCCATTTTTAAAGTTGGTGTTGAGGCAAGATGCTGTGTATCTACCCAAATTCCAGGGTATTTTGTAACAAACTGAAGTGTTGGAAGATATCCTAAGTCATTTTAGCTTTAAAGGGGTTGATGGCATTAACATTAATGGGCTGTAACTCAATCCTAGCAAGATGAAGTGGCTGTGAGCATTTGGACCTTCCAGAAACAAGGCTCTTGACCATCTTTAGTTCTAGATGGGATTATACTACCCCAGACAGACCCATTGTGCAATCTGGAAATCCTGCTAGACTCACAGCTCCTGCTTAAAGAGCAAGTGGCAGTCATGGCTAAGAGAGCCTTTGCATACCTTCAGGTGGAAACCAGGTGCACCCATCCTTGGCCAGAAGACCCTGCCTTCACACCTTTGTAATCTCTCATTTAGACTAGTGCAACATGCTGTATGTGGGTCTGTTCCTGAAGGGCATTTGGAAACTTCAACTGGTCTAGAATGCGGGTGGTAAATGGCACAAGATTTATAGTACCTATCACCTCACTTCTGTATGAGCTGCATTGATTACCAGTATGTTTCTGGGTGCAATTCAGAGTACTGGTCGTCACTTTTAAAGACCTACGTGGCTTGGGACCAGATTACCTGAGGGATCATCTTTTTCCAAGAGTCTCTACTCATCCACCTCAATCTAGCAGAATGGACATGCTGCAGATCCCATCACCAAAGAATGTCAGCTGATGATGACTAGATGATAGATAGGCTTTTTCTGCAGTGGCCCCTGCTCTGTGGAACATCCTCCCTTCGGAGATTAGAATGACCTCAACCCTGTTAGCCTTTTGTAAGACCCTAAAAACCCGGCTATGTTCCGAAGCCTGGGATGCGGAAGATGTCAAGGGGTATATTTCCTGGCTTTACTGCTACACTCACCAAGTATCTTGGCTGCTGTGTATATTTTTTATTATTTTTTATCATATGATTGTTTTAAAATACTTCAGTGTTTTAATTGTAATTTTTTTTTTTACTTGTAAACCGCCCAGAGTCATCATGAGATGGGTGGCTCTAGAAATTGAATGAATGCGTACATGCATATTCAGGAAAATCACGTAAGTTACAAAGTAGGCTGGAAAATCTGAAAAGGGACAGCTGTATTCATTTCAAATGCATGCATTCCTCAAATGTTATTAGAATATATATTATTTCTACTCTGTTAATGAGCATGTGACCTGCATTTTTTCCAATAGTTTCCTCTAAAATAGTGCCTCTTTATTTCATTTCAGAACTACCATGAAATTATGGCTTGCCATCCAGAGAACTTCCAGTGGAAACAATGGTGCTTAGAAAATGTTGCAATTATTCTTGGTCATCGTTTTCCAGGCAGTTACATTTGGATTATAAAATGTTCCCGTATGCATTTGCACAAGTTCAGCTGCTATGATAATTTTGTGGCAAGCAATTTGTTTGGAGCACCTGAACATAGTACTGACTTTGGAGCCTTCAGACACCTTCATGCCCTGCTAACTAATGCATTTAGACTTGCTCAAAATTTTTTGGTGTCTCAGAAAAGCATGTACGATTTCAGTGACAATACAAAGGCAGTTTCTTGTGAATTACCTACTTTTGCTACTAGTAATGGTTGCCCAGCAGCAGAGAAACACTGTGAGCTTGTTAGCAAGTCTGTGAGCTTTAATGAGCCTTCTGCTATTCACAGAGCTTCATTCACATTAATAGGATTCAGTAAAGGTTGTGTTGTCTTGAATCAATTACTTCACGAACTGAAAGAAGCAAAAAAGGACAAGGATATAGATGCTTTTATACAAAATATAAAAGCTATGTACTGGCTGGATGGTGGTCATTCTGGAGGAAGTAATACTTGGGTAACGTACCCTCATGTGCTGAAATACTTTTCACAGACTGGAATTTCAGTTAATGCTCATGTTACACCGTACCAGGTATTTGATACAATGAGAACATGGATTGGAAAAGAGCACAAGAGATTTGTACAACTTCTTGAGGAGTTTGGTGCAAATATAAATAGCCAACTTCATTTTGCTGATGAAGCACCTTCTTTGGACAATCACTTCAAAGTACATGAAGTATTTTGATATGTTAATGATGCCAGTGTTATCTGCAAAATAGATCTTAAACTTCCAGTTTAATAATGTGTTTTCTTAACACTTGGGAGAGGAAATATTGTATATGCTTTCTAAGATGAATGTTGATGTTACAAGTCTACTGCTTGTAACTGAAGTCACCAGAAAGTTTCAGCTTTTTGATCTGAGCAAGGCAGTATTATCCATGAGGAAAATCAATTTAACAGGAGGGGGGAAAAACCTAATTCAGCTTAATGTTAAAGGAAGGGTTTGTGTAATTGTCTAGAATTATAATGACCAAAACTTTCAAGCCTAGATATAAAAAAGATCATCTTCAAATTCTTCTAATTTGATGAAATTGAAGGTTTGTTTTTGAATAAAATCCTGTTATTTAGATGGGATAATTATTAGAATGTCAAAGCTACTCTTAACATTATTTAGTACTTTTAGCACAAGCAATGCAGTAAATTGGTTATTTTGACAGTATTTATCTTCATTGCAATAAGTATATGTTAACCTTGGGAATAAGCTGAATAACTACTGTACTGTTGTGCCAGAGGCGCCCCGCAGTTTCTAACCATTGCAAGCATCTACAGATGTTGTATTTTTGTTTTCCTTGGGGGGGGGGCATTGGAAGAGAATTAAGCATTGTGAGACCAAAAAAAGTATACTCTCACACGGTTCAACATTCCATATTAATGGTGAAGCTTAACTAGCTCTCAATACAATTTTGAGCTTTTGTAACTTCAGACTGTTAGAACTTTTATAACAACTGTAATTATTACTTTGCTGAATATGAAGCCATCTAATTACATTATATTAATACTGTTAAGTTATGGGAAAATGGTAGTAGCATATACAGTTGTTATTTATAACACAGGAACACCAAGTAGCATTCTCTATAAAACAGCAATTATGTGAGAGAAGGATTACTACAGTGTAAAACATTTTGATGTTTCTATAGTTAAAAATTAAAGTATCATTAATAAATCTGTGCAATTGATCAACATTTTTATACGTTGTTTGAAAACTTAATTACTAGAAACCGGAACACTATCTGAAAATAGAATTTGGAGAATATACAGTTCCTCTGAATTTTAAAGGATTTGTGACACAATAGGATCCCTTAAAACAGAATTCCTCAACCTTTCCAGCTTTGCAGTCAAGGAAGAGGGAATGGTTCCGCACAGGTGGGGCATGCGTGCACTTACCTGCTGCTTGTGCAAGTAGGGATGTGCGTGCGCACTTGCCCACCACTTCCACGGCCCAATTCCAAATGGCTCAAGGCCCAGTAGTGGGCTGCAGCCCAAGCGTTGGGGATTCCTGCCTTAAACCTTACTTTTGAAAGATAATAAACTAGAAATATTGCTAGAAAAAAAACTTACGTTAAAAGTCGAAGGCTATGTCCAAATTGTTTTTGCTATAACAAACGGTTTGATAATCTGATTTTCATAGAATTTCCTCCTCCAAAACATTTCTCTTATTATTCCATTCTGTGTTTTGCAAGAAGGGCACTTTTTTCAAGAGTAGTTTTTAAAAATGGGATAGAAAGTTAGGGTAGAGGAATCAATACAAATGGAGATCCTTGTTTGCAAGAGAGCAAGCACTGCCTGCTTACTATCCAGTGTATAAGCCACACAGCTTTTGAGCATGAGTAAGCTATGAAATTAATGTTTGGGTATAATGGGTGGAGTTTAATCATATGCTTGTTCCGTGGAAGCCACTTTTCCTCCTCTAGTGGATTCTAAACCCTCTGCAGCAGATTTGACTGTCATGAGAGAGCTGTGAGGATAAGAAAGTTGTTTTATTAGCAGTAGGCCTTTAGCATAGACTTTGATGCCATCTCATACTATGTAAAGATGATGTAGGTTTGTCACATCAGTAAAAATGTGAAATAGCTATTTGTTCTGATCCAATAATTCACTATGGGCACTTGAGGTATTGTTCCCCTCATTTCAGTGTTTCCAAGGGATGTGCGCATGGAAGAGGGAAAGCCAGGATGTTAAGTAGGTCAAATCTCAATGTTTCTGCAGCCAAAATGCAGGGATTTTTGCTTTTCATACATTCCAATGAGATTTTTGTTATTGTTGCACTTTGAAATATATTTTGAAGTCTTTGCTTCTTAGTTCATACTTTTAAAGTAATAAAATGCTGGTAATTTAGTCATCTTCAAATTAATAGTTTACAACTATTAAAATATCCAGCTTTTAATAGACACTATTCACATATTGCTTCACAATAAAAGCTAGAAGGTGCCAGAAGACTAGGTGAGTCTTACAGTATTCTGGAGAAAATTAATTCCATCTACAATTAGGATATACCTATTTACTGAAATGATGTCTAGCAGTCAAGTGAGTTCTGTTTCCCAAATTTGCTCAAGGATTGAGTAAGATTTGGAGCTGAAGTAAGAAGGAAATAGTATATTGCATGCCTTCAGTACAGCTTATTAACTCTGTCACAATATATACTGAAATTTCTGTACTAATAAATATTTTCAATGTGACATACTTTGTTTACTTTGAAGGCTGCTTTTATATTATTTATAAAAGCAGCCTTCAAAGTAAACAAAGCATTGTTTTTTTCTTACAGTAGAAGCTGACATAAATTGAACTTTATTTTCCTGAATGGAGCTAAGACACTTTTGTTTCTATAGAGAATTGGAAGACCATTGGACAAGAAAATTGAAAGTAGTATAGTATTAAAGTTAGCTTTTTAAAAAAAAATCAGTTCAGTAAAATGTTTTGATGTTTACTAAACTGCAGAGTGCATTGTTCAGTTCTAATCTTTGAGTAGATGTAATTTAGAGATTTATTTTTAAACTCTAAATTAGTTTTCTAAGCATGAAAAAATAAATGTGTCTTCCAGTTACACATTTTGCTTCCAATCAGTAGCTTAGATTGCACTGATAACTTTACTGGACACATCACACAAAGGGCAAGATAACGAACAAAAATGAAATAATAATAATGATGATGATGATGATGATGTTGGAAGGAACCTTGGAGGTCATCGAGTCCAACCCCCTGCTCAGGCAGGAAACCCTACACCATTTTACGTCCAAAATACACAATCTGTTTTTTTTTATTGGATAGTTACATATTTATGATACAGGAGTGTCAGATGAAAGAACAACTCTTTGCAAACTAAAGTACTTATTCTACTGAAAAGCAATGTTGCAAAGTAGCGAAAACCATACGTTGCAATTTCTGCAAGAAAAATTTCTTACAAGATTTTTATACCTGCTCAAGGCATAACTAGAGTAAATAAAAAAAAAAACACTGAAGAGATTGTTGTACTACCTTCACAGTTTATTAACTCCAAACTCATTAGAAATGTCTGCAAATCCTTAAAAATTGTGCCTTTTCTGAGCTTGGAAAACACATTTAAGGATGTGCCAACATCATTAGATATGCACATTATCTCTTCAAATCCAGATTGATGCATAGTCTTACTGTTTATCTCCTTAGCATACCCGTATATTATGTTCATAAATAATACGACATTTTAGCAGTATGTGTCTGGCTTAAATGGTACGTAAACCAGTGGCCATCCTATTAATTGGTTCACAAGAAAGAGTTTAACATATATATTTCTCAGAACAACTGTTAAGTATTCAAAAATGTTTTTTATTCATAATTACTGCTGTAAGTTTTTTCTTGGATGCGTAATGCCATTCTCCTACCATAGAAGTCTCTGTATTCCTCAGGAAGTTCTTCCAGGTTTTTTAGTGCTCTATCCAAAATCTGCATTGCTCTTGAGGCTGCAGTGAGATCTTTGTTTCCATACGTATCTGTTTTATCATAGTATTCAGAAGGAAGCTGCTTCCAGAAAACATTGACTCCAACTCCAAATTCCTCAGAAGTCACATTATGGAACCACAAGGCTGGAGAGGGGGCAGGGAGTTGTGAAATATATTTTACACATATTATATATACTGAAAACATTTAATTTCTAGTTATCAATCAGAAATTGTTTTACAGTGACAGCTTTGCAGGAAGACGCTTCAGCCTTGCAAACATATTAACTCTAAATATACCATGTTTCTGTAATTTGAAGATTTGAAAATTGTTCTGAAAATATACTTGGGACTATAGATTCTTTAGGTTAGATTTAGACCAATAAATCTAAGAAGAAATGTGTAGAAGTGAATTGTAGCTGGGCGAATACTAACCAGAAATCCCAGTGAATGAAGTTGAACTATTTTTTGCTGATTCTTCAGCTGCAAATCCAAAACTCTTCTGAAAGTACCTTGAAACCTTGATTTAGGACTACTACTGTTCGCAGTTATGACAGCCTCAAAATCGGTCTTTAAAGACTGTAAGGCATTTCCGGCAATCAAAAAATGTTTTCCCCCCCCGGTCACATGACTGCATTTCAGGCATTTGGCAACCTGTCTGCATTTACAACTGTTTGCCAAGTGCCCTGTGATCACCATTTGCAATCGTCTCTGCTGGCTTTCCCAGAAAGTCAGTGGGGAAGCCAGCAGGAAAGATTGCAAGCAAGGAGAATGCTGGATTTGAGATCCATTCCCCAAGCACACCACGGAATCTCTCCCCCATACAGGAAGGGGAAATCCTCCCACACACTGGAGAAACAATCCTCAAATCTGGCAAAAACACTAGCAAACGCCAGCTTTCTGAGCCTTTCAGAAAGCTGGTGTTTGCTAGTATTTTCCTGTCCAAAGGAAAGAGGCAAATACCAGCAAATATCAGTGTTCTGAGCCTCCCTGAATTATTGCATTTGCTAGCTTTTTTAACAGATTTGAGGTATGTTCCTCCAGTGCACTAAGGGTTTTCCGAAGGCAAATCTCTCCAAAGGGGAAATCCCTTGATACACTGGAGGAACCGACCTCAAATCTGGCAAAATACTAGAGAATGCCATTGTTCTTACGAATATTCTTCCTGGTAAGGTAAGGGCTCAAACTTCCCAGATGTGCTGGGAAGGCCTGGCCCTCTCCCCATTCCACCATGTCCAAGAGGACTCAGCCTTCCCTCTAGCACTCCATTTAATGACGACAACAGAAAAGAGTTGGGATCACAATTGTTGAACGAAGTGATCATATGGCATCATCACTTAATAACTGCTTCATTCAACAACTGAAATTCCAGGCTCAACTGTGGTCGTTAGTGGAGGACTATCTGTAATTAAAAACAATTGGGACGGGCTGAGAAAGCAACGATAATCCATGAAAATCACCACTCCCATTTCACCTAACGAACTAATTTGGATTGAAGTGGGATCCAGAGTACAGCTTCAAAAATCTACATTGTGTTTTTGTCTTTCCTTTTCTTTCTTTCATGTATGCTTACCAGTTTGAGGTCTAAAGAGACTTATACTTCTAAGGATACTTATCTAGTAACTAAACATCATTATTAGCTATACTAGATGCACAAATCTCATTGGGGTTCAAACTGTTCAGATATGGATACCTTGAATTTTGAAAGAATTAAAAATTGACCTGTTAATGGTGGTTATGCCAAGAGCTTTCAAATCAGCAGATAGCTACAATGAAGCGTTATTTTTTATGCACGAGGCACTTAATTCTAGTTCAAAGAGCATTCCGCTGAATTATAGTGATCATCACTCCAACCTAATAGAATCTAAATTTTATAAGGAAAAGGTTACATCTGCTCTCCAAAGGACCACAGACCAATCCAGCTGGTGCATGTAGTACACAAGCCAATGTGCTAAAAATAGCTTCAGATGAAAAAAAAGCCTTGGAAGGATTCCAAATTCTCACATTTGGAAGATTTTAATAAATAAAATGGATGTAATAAACTATTGCAGTCTCTTGGATCTAAATCATGTCATGGGTCTGACATCAATTTAAATGTGCAGCGTAAAAATGAGGAGCAGCATCTCTTCAGACTAACACGTATTAAAAGGCATAAGCTATTGGCCCATGATTTTGGCTATGGGGAAGCCAGATTCACTTAACAACCATGTTACTACCTTAACAACTGCAGTGATTGACTTAACAACTGTGGCAAGAAAGATTATAAAACGGGGCAAAACTCACCTTTCTTAGGAATGGAAATTTTGCCCTCAATTGTGGTCTTAAATTGAGGACTGTATAGATTGCCACAATTAATGAAGTTAATGGATGGCTAAGATGGGGAAATTAACTACTTTGATTAAAGAAAAGATTTTTTTATAGCTTTACTTCAATATGGAACCCACTTTTGGACTTTTTGCTTGAAACTGAAAGAAACATATTAATTTTGGGATTTAACATTATAATTGTTTAAAACAATTCCATTGTCTATTATTGAATTTTAGATCAAAAGGTTAAATTTTTTTTATATTTGTAACTATCTAAGAAAGTTGGAAGTTACAGTTTACTTATTTTCTTCCCCCTTTCCTTATTGTCTTGCACTTTTCCCCTCCTGAAGTATATTGAAAAAGAATTAACTTGCTTGTTATAGATACCATAAGTGAATTTTGCACTGGATGTAGATTAAGACCATGTAATTGTGTGCTGTTCAAAATTTAAAGACCACATTTATTTTCTCTAGTTTTTTTCATCAGTGACTTATTAAAAAATACAATTTTTATACCATTTAAAAATTAGATTTTTTATTAGAGTTTGTATTAAGTATTTCGTTACATAGGTTCTCACAAATAAGAATGGAAGTGTGTTCACTTATTTTTTGAACTGTGGCTTAGCATGATATACGAATACGGAGACATGTTAAGGACAAAAACCATGTCATGGCTTTATCATGATATATGAGTCAGATCACTATAATTCATGGCCGAGATAGAATTGTCTTTTTACTGTGGTTTTAAATACAATTTGCTGCACATAAACATGCAGTCATAAAAAACAGTCTCCTGTGACTGACTGACTGACTAAATTCTAAGCTGAATCAGACCAAAGAGGAGACAGCCTTCTACAGTTTAAAAAAAACAACAGCTGAATTTGTTGTTGGTTTTCTTACCAGGAATGAATAAGACATCTCCAGCATCCAGCTGACATTCATAACGTCTAGCTTTGATAAAGAGAGGATATTTCTTCATGTTTGGTTTATCCACATCTAGTACCTCAGACTTTGTGCCTGATGGAAGATTTCAATGAACAATCAATGACAATGCTTCTATTAAACTGTATTACTCTTAATGCTACCAGCATAATATTTAGGCCCCTCATTTGGGAGTAAAACATACAGGAGAGGAAGACTATGTATATGTGTATGTGCCTCAGGTTGAGTACTGGGCTGCCAAAATGATTTTCCATTTCTCTAGCTCTTTTAAGCTGTCAGATCCTACTAAATCAATTTTAACTACAGTATGGTGCAATTTAAGTCTTAAGTCTTTATTAGACCAAGTGGGACATCCTTTCCCTGCAATCTCAGAAAAACTACTGTTTAACTGATCAATTAATCACATATTTCATTCCAGAGTAGCTCTCCTTTATTCAGTGAATGCTAACTATGGAAATATATGTGGTTTAAGCCAGGGGTCCCCAACCCCCGGTTCATGAACCAGTACCGGGCCATGGCATGCTAGCAACCGGTCCGCACAAACAAGCAAAGCCCCATCCGCGAGATGCAGGCAGCACACAAAACCACGCACTCTGGTCCGCGGAAAAACCTCTCTCCATGGAACTGGTCCCTGGTGCCCAAAAGGTTGGGGACCTCTAGTTAAGCACACAGCAAGTCTGCTCTTCAGTCTCCTCTAGAATGCAGATGGTGCTGCACAAAGCAACTGAAAACTGATCTTTAATGATTTGCATCTCATTAGCAACTGCCTATTCTAGTTAGCTATTTTAGTGGGTGAAAGGGGCTGTGTTGGTTTTATTTGCTTTTTTTCTTTTTCTTTTATGTTTATTTAAAGTTTATAGGCAACACCAAAGGATGGCTTTATTTAAAAAGAATACAAATATCCCTTTGAGTTACAACTGTAATGGAGCCTGCCCATTACAGTCAGAAGTCAGGACAGCCACTAAGTGAAGCACCTCATTTTATAACCCTCCATCTCTGCTCTCCCCAGTGCAAATGTGTGGGTCGTTAAATGGAGGACGGGGTACCTCAGGGTGGGAGAGACGCTGGTAGTATTAAAAGTTCCAAGAATTTAATGACTGTTTACAAAGTTATCATGTCTGTATCCTGGTCAAAAATCAAGGTTATTCTGGAGAACAAACAAAAGGATACCCAAGATTATGAAAAACTGTAAAGTTTACAAATGGGAAAAATGACAGATTCGGGGGGAAAAGCTCAATAAAGGATTCTTTAAAATCACAACAAATAAAAGCCACAAAATACTCAACATAATTTTGAATCATCTACTGTGATTAATAATTATGTTAAAGATTAAAAAAATATATTGTACACAATGCAAGGTAAAGTGTATAAAACAGGGGTAGGCAACCTTGGCTCTTTTATGACTTGTGGACTTCCAATACCCAGAATTCCTGAACCAGCCATGCTGACTCAGGGATTCTGGGAGTTGGAAGTCCACAAGTCATAAAAGAGCCAAGGTTGCCTACCCCTGGTATAGAACAACCGCCAGGCTGTGGCCCAGGCCTTGAGTCATTTGGAACTGGGCTATGAAAGTTCAGAATGCGCGCAAGTAGCAGGTGAGCTACTTGCTACCCCGCCAGTCCACAAAGCTGGAAAGGTTGAAGAACTCTGATATAGAAGATAACTACCTTAAACAGTTATAAAAAAGAACTATGCCAAATATATGAAGGGTAGTCTACTGACAGCTACTAAAAATGATCCAGGTTTCAAAAGCAATACAAAGTTGAGCTTGTCTGTCACTTTGGATCAAAGAACACGAGACACTTATTCCAAGGGACCCTACAGATATCTGGGCAACCAAAGTGGAAACTGGAACATTACAAATAATGGAAATGTGATCTGATGAAGCCAGGAATGTTCTTCACTCTTTATGTAGTGTCTGCTTTTAAGCTAAGTAACCCACACAAACACACCTGATAAATATAAATATGGTGCATCACGGGGGCTGAACAGTACAACTTGTTTCTTTCCCGTCACCTGAATTAAGAAGTTATCCATTATCTACAAATATAAAAACAGTAAATATTACTGAGCATGTGATCAGATGAGACTTTCAATACTGCTGCAGCTATATTAAATTAGAGGTATATTAGCAGTAATACCATAGTCATTTACAGTGACTCTGAAAAGTATGTCAGATCATGAACCTTTAGTCTCTTGCCCTTTCCTTATGTGGATAAATAGGAGATCCTCTGTTAATAAAAGGCATGTACAAAACACTTAGCATTAAGACAAATTTTCACATAAGGGTAAAATAATCATCTCTCATTGTCTGTCTTTATATCTTTACCTCTGTGTACAAACACACACAGATTATATAGAAACACTAACAATGATTGTAGTATTACCAGCAAAATATTGCATTCTTCCTGTCCTCCCTGCCTCACTGGAGACGTTCAAACAAAAATGTTAACGTCCTGCTCATTAGTTTAATCCACAATATACTCCAAGTACAGATCGTGCTGTTGTTTAAATAGATTGAAAGATACTGGTACTCAGTCAAAATCTTTTGGGCATATGTCCAAAGATACAGAAAGCCTTTTTCTAGCTGTTAACTATACAGCACAGGTAGAGAATAATAAGATACGTATATTATTGAAGAGGATATATTACCAAAAGAAATCTGTCCTGGAGAACTAATAGATTACCATGCTCCTTTCAGCTGGCTTTGTAACCAGTCAGAGAAGCAGGATCCATAGTAGAGAAATGAGGGGGGAAATATTTACATATTTGCAAGGAAAAAAAACAGAATTCAAGCAAATTAATATATTCCATGTGCAGCACTGAGTCAACAACTGTAATTGGGATCAGACTTTCCATCACTGTGATGTGATTGTAGAGTGTAATGTCAGGGACTGCATGATTTAGGGATGGCAATCCTGGCAATGCCCACTGCCATTGTTAAGTGAGGACCTCAGGTCATTAAGCAAATCCTAGGCAGCTCACAAGCAGGCCACCAGGGTGGTAAGGTAGGCTGCATGACACATGTGCCATGAGGCCAGGGGTAGCAACAGCCAGACAAAGAGAAGGGGGCGAGTAATCTACAAGGCACAATAGGAATGCAGCTGGGGGTGGCTGCTATCAGGTGGAGAGGATGCAAGAGACTCACTGGAGTGACCTGTGGCCTCCCCTGCTGGCTTCCCCGTTGAGCTTGTTTGTGGGAAGCCGGCGGGCAAGGTTGCAAATGGTAATCATGAGACCACCTGATGCTGCAACTCTCACTTAAGTGTGAGCCAGTTGCCAAACACCTGACTGCAATCACAGAATTACAGGGGTGCTGGGGCAGCTAGAACTTCAGTGCCATTGTAACTTCAAATGGTTGCTGAACAATGGTCAATAAACGAAGACTACCTGTATCCCATTTGGAGAAGCACAATATGCCTGACTAGACTTAGTACATTGAGGGATACTCATAAAACAGCTGATGAGGCTATACAGTATCTTTTTAAAAAAGCAGTTAGCTAGGTCAGAACATGTTCATAATCCAATCCAAAACATACTTCCAACAAGCTTAGTCATGCTAAGAAACTAGAAAGTTGTCCTAAATGTGTGTAGTTTCATAGATAGCACTAGTACAGTTTCAAGAGCAGATATGGTGTCATTTTATCTATCAATCCAAATGTCTAATTAAATCAGATATAAGAGAAATTCTGTCACAATTCTTTCATTTGTTGAAGGTAGCTACATGGAATGTACATGGCTTGGGGGGGGAGAATATAAATGAGCAAGAAGTCAAAAATTCATTAATAAAGAGAAAATAGATTTTGTATTTTTACAAGAAACATATCAAAAGAAAGAAGGGGTGAATGAACTTAGGTTATATTGGACCGATGTATATCAAAAGCAAGAGGGATAGCAATCATGGTAGCTAAAAGATTTGAATTTAAGATAAAAGCCATAAAAAGGAATGATATGGGAAGATTTCTTATAATTCAAGGCTTGATTTATGGACAAGAGGTCACTTTAGCAAATTTGTATGCACCTAATACATTGATTGAAGGAACTGGTGTATATAAGAAAACTAAAATAAATTTATTTGCAGATGATAGATTACTAACATTTCAAAATCCCATAGCTACTATAGAGAGGATATATTCACATTTGAATGAATTTGGGAAATATAGTGGATTGCAAATAAACTGGGAAAAATCAGAAATGATGTTATATAACCATAGTAAAGAAGAAATGGACGTATTGAAAGAAAAATATAAATTAAAAATAGTAGATAGTATCAAATATTTAGGTATTGACATCCCAAAAATATTCAAGAATTAAAGAAGATAAATTATGAGAAGTTAAAGAAAGCTAAAAAAAATAAAATGGATAAATATGGAAAAGTAAAATTATCATGATTCAGAAGAATTGCAGCAATAAAAATGAAAGTTTTACCAAAAATTAATTTTTTGTTTTGGATGATCCCAATTAAGTTTTCGGATCAAGAATTAAAGGAAATACAGAGATTGCTGGAGGTGTATTGTAATGGAGATAAGAGCAAGAATAAGTAAAGCATTATGGTATGAACCATTAAAAAAGGGTGGGCTGGGTCTTCCAAATGTTAGAAATTATTGGGTAGCTAATCAATTAAGGGTGGTCCCAGATATTATAGCAGTAAATAGAGATTTATTATGGAGCGATATAGAGTTGAAGGAGTTAAGGGAAATAGGCAATCCTATAGAAACATATTGGTTTAAAAAGGATATTTAAAAAATTGTTAAGATAATTCAAAATCCCTTTTTAAAAAATTTGATAGAATTATGTAATAAATGGAGATATTGGTTAATGCCAGGAATTTCTCCTTTAACACCGGTGGTAGAAATGGAGAAATTCCCTAAGATTGAATTGAAAGAATGGATTAGTAAATTAAAAAAAAAATCAGATATATAAATGGGAAGACTGGAAGAACAAGATAAAGAATATAATACAATTAAATAATGTTTTATCAGATACTAAATTAAATTGGTTGAATTTAATACAATTAGACAAATGGATAAAAATGGAAGAAAAATTCAAGGTGAAAGATAGACAGTTAACAAAATTTGAAATTATTATAAAAGCAAGTGAGGAAAATGAAGAATATATAGGTAAAGGAAGAATTGGGAAAATACACAGAATATTAACTGAACTTGAAGATCAGGCAAAAGGTTTAAAATTAATCTGGGAAACAGATTTAGGAGAAATAAATGATAAAGATTGGAAAAATATATGGAATAGAAGAGTATATAAGAATATGTCAGTTAGAGTTAAGGAAAATGGATATAAAGTGATATGGAGGTGGTACCTAACACCACGTAAATTAAATCAAATAGATGTTAAATATACAAATATTTGCTGGAGGTGCGAGAGAGAGATTGGAACATATAAACATATGTGGTGGGATTGTGATAGCGCACAAAAGATATGGGACATGGTGTTTAGGGAAATTAGAGAACTTTTGAAGGTAAATTTAGATATATCACCAAGGATTGCATTACTGTTACTGATGGAAAAACAAGACATAAATGAAGCAAAAAAGGAATTGATTGTAAATTTCATAATGACAGCTAGATTAGTGATGGTTAAATATTGGAGACGGAATTGGGTTATTTAAAGAAATGAGTGGTATAATGAAATATGGAATATGGCAATAAATGATAAATTAACAACAGAAATTAAATTTTAAAAAGGGATGATTAAAGTAAATAATTATAATGAAATATGGGATGATTTTATAAAAACAGTCTTGGTGGAAAGCAAAGGGAATAAACCTGCTCAAGAATATATGCTGTTTTGGAGAGGATAAGGGCAATATTGAAATATATTGTATATTGTTGTTATATGAGAATAAATATAGGTAATAAAAATGGTCTCCAGGGGGGGGTGCACTGTAGTATTTGTATTTTTATACTATTTTTTATTTAGATTTATATGTATTGTTTGTATTACTTGTATTTGAATAAAAATAAAAATTAAAAAAAAGAAAGTCCTGACTTAGTTTAACACCTATAGCATTCCTTTTAAATATTTTTCAAGGAAGCAACACAAACCCCTCTTTGCATAAAGGTCAAAATGAGTTTAGCATACTTTTCATTAATAAGGGTTTAGGAATGTATTATTTACATCATAGTGTGTCCAAAGTTGTAGACCTTCTGAACTTATTCGGAAGACAGTAGAGAAAAACTGTTCCTTATCAAAGTATTCTGGAATGTGAATGTCATCTGCCAATAAAGGAAACTGCTTTCTCAGATCTGCAATATCCTGAAACAAAAATATTGATCTTGACTAGAGTTACATATTATGCTAAGTTATAAAGCATTTAGAAATCATAATAGCAAGGTTCACGTATCATACAAAGCCAAAAGCAAACCATTCTATGGCTTAGTGCAATGTAGGAATCCAATTACATCTGAAACCCCTGGAAGAGGAAAATGATTGTTAGGATGTTACAGAAAAACAAAAGGACCTTAGTCTGTAACCATAAGCCTGCTAAAGTTTCCTCTCTCATGAACTGCAAAATCTCTTCTATTCAAGAGATGTTGATTAGCTTGGGCTACTAATAAGGCATTTAGAACAAGTCCATTTCCAGGCCATCCATCAAATTTCTCCATATTTGGACTGAGCAAGTTCAAATAATACACAATAAGCACAGATATTTTGGCTTCATTTGAAACACTTCAAATCCTACATTCATTTCCAGATTCTGAAGAAATTGGGGCATACATTTCACAAAGGAATAGAAAAGATATGAATATGTTAGGAGGTTTTAATATTGAATTGCTGAAGTTAACATGGGTAAACAAGATAACATTTGGCTCAGATCTTCAGTAAACAGGACAATGAAATGCTGTTTTTTCAAATCTTTTTCCAAATAATGAGTCAGGGAGTTGCAGGGTAGGATACAATTCTTTTTGTAAAAACATCTATTTCCTTGTCTGTCCCAGGAAATAACAATGATAACACTAATCAATCCTTTTCTCTATCAGCTTTATGATTCTCCATTCTCTCTGTTTTAAATAAACACAGTAAATAAAGCACAAACTAAGGACAACATTTATGTAAAGGCTATCCAAAATAGCTCTGAGGAGATCTAACATTTTTAGGATGAGTTTTTTTCTTATACAATGTACTCACCTTTCGGGGATCATCTCCTAGTGATCGTAAATAATACTTTTCATCCTTAAAAATACAAACACATGGAAAATAAATTGCAATGAATAAGCACATTAATATTTAATTGACTTAACTTATCAAGTGCCATGTAATTTGATAACTAAAAAAGAACCTACACTAAAAAAAAAATCAGCCAAACTAAACTATTAGTAAGCAAATAATACATTACCTCAGAAAGAAAATAATCCGAATGCTTGATTTCAGCTGCTCTCTTTACAAATACATCAAAAGGCAGTGTTCTGAAATTCAAAATAAAGTTATCAAAATGTTTTTTTTAAACAGAGGGGACTGACTTTTAATAATAACTATCTCAAAACATCTTCTTTGAACAAAGAAAAAAGGTACAATTAAGAACAGCTGTTTAACATTGATACCTAATATCCTTACTAGAATTTAAATGCCATGGGCATCAATGGACTTCCAGAAACAAGACTTAGGATCAGCTTGAAACTTTCTGCAGGTCAATTACTGGTAAATTTATGTTGGTTGCCATATAAATGGATTCAATTCTTCTAATCAATTAAGGGTTTTTTATCGATTGAAGCATGTCCTCTAGCAGAATTAGGAATAGAATCTTCAACAATTCCCTGTTCTGTCTACTACTCTGCCTCTCAAAATGCTTTCTAGAAGATTGGTGGTGATGCTAAGGGCGGGGGGGGGGGGGGNGGGGGGGGGGGGGGATCATGAACTAGGGAAAATAATTTACCCTTCCACAGCTTAATAGCTGGAAATTTCTAGAACAGAACAATTCCCACGGTATGAAGAGACAGCTGGGTCCCTGCTTCCACATGACAGAAAACTATCAGAATAATCTCAGTAAAATACATTTCATGTTGAAACTAATGACTTTGCTTCCAATTATTTTCTCATACAGACATTGGCTCCCACCAAACTATTTGATCCAAAATCACCTTATGATTTCCGTTCACAGTTGTGGTAGTATACAGAATTGCTTTCATTTTTTAATGAGGATAAGTCTGACTGTAAGCTAGAGTACACTGTGACCTGATTGTAGTTGCAATGGGTAACTAACTGAGGCACAAAGAAGGCAGCTATAGAAAACAGTGTAGGAATTTCATAAACAAATAATAATTGGATTAACTGAATTTTAAGATTACATCACCCCATTTGGTTCATTAGTTAAGGCACTAGAATTATTTACTGTGATGGAAAAACAAGTTTGTATAAGAGTCAGGTGGGAGAATGTGAAAATGTGGTCTTAGAAAAAAGATTCAACAATTCACATATATACACAAAGCCTGCCAACCATAGCCATCATGAAAACGTGTAGCTGGATTGACAGCATAAAGTCAATACGGAAATCTCTACTATCTAGGTCTGGAAAAGCTAAGTGAGCCATAAGATTTATTAATGCAAATAGTTCTATAGCTGCTGGGTTTTCTTCAGCACATCTCTAATTTGTTTTGAGCTACAGCAACATCTGAGTTGCTATCACTTCCCACTTACAGAAACAGAATAAAGCTTGGAACAGAATACCTATACACAAAGTTCTTACTAAGGAAGTTCATCTGTGGCACAGCAGAAACATGAACCTTTACTTCTTTTTTTCCTGATGATTGACAAAGGTAATCTACTGTCCATTTGGTCACACAAGGGCCCAGATCTATTCCTTTCAGTACTGCAGGCTTTCTCTGAGAATGAAAAAAAGTTATTGAATAACTTGCCACCATTTTGCTATTAGAAACAAACAAACAAAAGGGTATGACTTATCTATTACTCCCAACTATCCAAACCTAAGAAACGCATATCTTTTCTTTGAAAATTGTGTAACCAATACAATGAACATCTGTATTTCTAACTTTTATTATTTTTCTAACAGAGCATAATAGTGAAATACATCATATTAATCTTTATTCTAATGGCAGGATAAGCAGTACTGTAATGAACACTCTATAACACTGGATTAATCTACATTTTATAAAGCTTTGCAGTCTAATTCTTCGCACAACTACTTTGAAGCAAGTCCCACAAATTGTAACTGATTTCTAAATAATATATCTAGACACAGTTCACTGAACCTTATAGGTTCAAGTCAATACTTTAGATTTTGTTTATCAATAAATCTATAAGAGACAGGAAACAAAATACTTAAAAGAACATAGCAGCAAATCTAAATATTAAAGGCAAAATTCAAACTGACTATTTAAAATGCATGTATATTACTTCAATATATTAAAAGACAAAGTTGATGGAATGAAATATATCCTAAGTCCAAAATTAAATGGCAACTTCCATAATAGATCTAATTGCAAACAATGCTAACTACCCCCAGGGATCCGGGTGATCCCGGATCTCCCCTCCTTCCGCCGCGCCCTGAAGACATGGCTCTTCCAAGTTCGCCCTAACCGGATCCCCTTAAAAATCACCTTAAAAATCACCCCAAGATTCTCTTTAAAATTAATATATCCGGTATCATTTATAAAGAAAAATTAATCCAAAATTTAACCCATAAATAACAACATAGACAAAATATTCCGACAGTCGGCGGGACTCAGGCATTCCTCTTCCCGCCCTATTTTTAACTTATTTATTTTAAATAAATAAATAAATAAATAAATAAATAACTGCCTAACCTTCAAATTCAACACATTATCTTCTAAGCATTAGTTAAGGGACTAAATACAACAAGCATTACTGGGGCCAATGTGCCTAAGGATTCCTGCCCCTCTGTCCCATTGATTTTTAAAAGGATTAAAAAAAAGCAATAGAACTCTCTTAAGGATATGTAAACTGATTCAAATCTGAAACACCCTACTTTGAGTGTCAAAAGCTGTTTTGAATGCAAAATGGACTTTTCAAGTCTTTGAAAAATTGTTAAGTTTGAAAGTGTTTCACATTCAAAACACATTCATGATGTTTGACCCGCCTTATATCATACTTGAACCAGAATACTTTGAATTCAAAACTGGTCACTTCAACATGGTTGAAATCTGTAATATTCTGCACATCTCTAGAAGGCATGAGATTGAAAAATAAAGCAACATCAAACATAATTAGAATTTCTAACAATCGTTCTGAGTGCCACACACATTAGTTTTTTTAAAAAATAAAAGAGTGATTGGCTGTAATTGAATGTTGGAGTGTGCTTGTTATCAGGAAAAAAAACTCAGAAAAATAAGATAAGGAGCATTCTAGGAGGCCAAACTGCTGGGGAATATTCATTTGTGGTAAATTGGCACGTTGTATCTAAACACATCTACTATGGCAGATACTTTCTGAAAGTGCATTTAACAAGCTACCAAAACTAACCTGCAATCAACATTCCAAACCTGACAATTAACAAAGAAAAGGTTAATTATGTCCATCTCCTATTTTATCTGGAGAAAGAAAATATGTCTTGCCTTATGTGCACCTGGTACTGGTTTAGGATGTAAATACTAACCACATCGAGCACAGCAAGTACTGAATTAAACGCAGGATTAATTAGAATGTTATTCTTTTGCTGAAGTCCAAGAAACAAAGGACTCATCTGAGTGCTGTATATAGAATTGTTTTTATTAATAATTTTTTGTCCCTTTTAATTTTTACTTATACCAATTATTCCTGCCTATTTTTCCCATAACAACCACCCTGTGAAGTGGACTGCCCTAAGAGAGACCGGCCTAGAACAGCCCCGTTTTTTAGGCCAGCACCTTACTACACCACACTGGTTCTCTGTACCATGCCTTTCTTTGCCACGTTGTTGTTGTTGTTGTTGTTATTATTAAAAAAGGGGGGAGGAGCGTTTGAACCTCCGGGTTTCACCCACCAGGGGATAGATGTCCTGCAAAAAACGCTCCCGAGTCACTCCGGTGTATTGCGGGACTCGCTGCCTCTCCATGTCCCCGCTGAAATCTAAGCAACCGCCGCTCGGTCACTTCCTCCTTTGGGTCCGGCGGCGATTTCCCTCCGCTGGAAACGAGGCCTGGCAAAACCAATAGACGCCAATCATGCCCTGAAGGCGCCCAGCACCGCCGGGGGTGGAGGAGAGACCGCGAGGAGAGTTTCGCTCCTGCTCTAACTCAAGGGCGGAGCGAGGCGGGGCCCCCCCCCCCGCCCTCCTGCAGGCCCGAGACCCTCCTCGAGAGGCGGCGCAAAGCCCGCTCCTTCGCCTCAAGGGAAACCTGTCCGCAGCCTTCCGATCCCCCCGCGTCTCTTCCGTCGCCGCGGCATGATGGGAGTGCCGAGGCGGGGAGTTATGGGGCTGACCCGGGGAGTCCTCTGCAGGCGCTGCTGCTGGCAGCTGCGGGAGCTCCCCGCCCTCCCGAGAAGCTCCTCCGCTTCAACCGCCCGACGCGGAGGGGTCGGACAACTCTTGGCTCCCTCTGGCCGCTGCCCGTTTCTGCTGCTGCCCTCCGCGCGCTTTTATAGCAGCGGCCCCGGTGACTCCAGGTCGGAGGAGCGGGCGGTGTTCCTGGGGTTCCCCAACCCCTTGAGGTGGCTCCGCACTCGCCTCTACTTCTTCCTCATCCGCACCTACTTTGACCGCGACTTCAGCATCCAGGAGTTCATGCAAGGGGCGAAGCACGTGAGTCGTTTGTTGAGCATTTCGGGTTGTTATATATAAAAAAGAAGGGCAGGTTTTTTTTTCTCTCCTTTCTATTAGTTTTTTTAAGACCTCTCCGAGGAAGCTTTGGGGTTGGTTTAGCAGTGGCTGCTTAATGAGATGGTGTTTTATGGCTGTACAATAGCGGGGCGCTCTTGTCCTCTTGCTCTGCCTATGGGTCTTCTTTCTACTCCATCAATTTTTTAGTTTAATAAAATCACAAGGTCCTGCCCTTCTGTATTTCGCATTAATTGAACCTAAACTATTTACTTTTTAAATATGCACAAAGACAGCACTGCATTGCATTCTAGTCAATATAATCTTGCATCTTTATCGGATTCTGCATTTCAGATTGAGAATACTGTATCAGTTGAAAGGCTAAAAAGAATGTTTTCATTATAAGTACATTAATGCAGTTGACCTGCAAAGTCTTAATTAAAGTAGCATTTTTCTCTTTTTTCTAGGCCTTTACTGTTGTTTCAAGGTTAATTTCTCAGTGTAAATACGATGTATTGGAAGAACTTGTATCGAAAGAGGTAAAATATTTAATATCTCTCATATGTGAAAAACAAGATTCTCCTCGCTATTCCTTGAACTGAATATTTCTTTTTTACAGAGGATAGCATTAGCCAGTTCTTCACAACATAGTGCTCCTGGATTTGTTAGATGTCAGTTCCTACATTTGGCCATGTTGGTTAGAAATTTTAAGCACTGAAGTTAGTTGTATTTGGAGACCGTGAGAATGGAGAACATTGCCTTAAGTTAATTAAAAGTGGAAGAAACAGTTTGGATTTATACTTGTATTCTGTTCCTAAAGTGGAGTAAGCAGATTGCATCTAAACTGATAACTTTTCATTCCCAAAAACTCTGACAATTCACATTTGACTTTCTAAAAAAGGCAACAATTAGGTTTTGTCTTCCCGTTAGTGCTTCAGTGTAATTTAACCACAGTAACTGTTTATTCTCTTTATTTTAACTTGGGTTTTCTCATAATTTAGTTATTTCAGCTGTGCTGTCATTTCTAGAAGTTTAGTTTAATTAAAGAATTTATTATTACAACATTCATGCCGCTTTATTTCCAGAAACAGAACTCCCTCCAGTTTTAATATAATAACTTTTAGTAAGGAAAAGATGGTCTGAATATCCAAGGCTTTCCAAAAGGGTGTGGGCATGACTTTCTCTCAGTGGTGGAATGCTTAGCACAGAGGTCCTCAACCTTTTGAGCACCAGGGATGAGTTCTGTGGAGAAAGGTTTTTCCATGGACTGGAGAGTGCATGATTTTGTGTGATGCCTGCATCCCACAGATGGGGGTTTGCTTGTTTGTGCAAACCAATTGCTGGCATGCCGCGGCCCGGTACCGGTCCATGGACCGGGGTTGGGGACCCCTGGCTTAGCAGATCTTACTGGCGTCGGGTTTCCACATCAGCTTTGAACGGCTTTCAGAAAGAAGACTAAGTCTAATAAAACTCTTAAATGTTTTATAACAGTGCCTTTAAGGATACACAAGTAATCCTTGACTTACAAATACAGTTGTGCCCAGAATTTCTGTTGCTAACCAAGACAGTTTTTAAGTGAGTTGTGTCCCATTTTACAATCTCTTTTTGCCACACTTGTTAAATGAATTGTTAAGTTAGTAACATATTAAGTGAAACTGGCTTCCCCATTGATTTTGCTTGTCAGAAGGTAGCAAAAGGTGATTGCATGACCCTGGGATAGTGCAACTGCTATAAAAAGATGCCAGTTACCAAGTGCCCAAATTCTGATCGCATGAACATAGGGATGCTGCAACGTAAGTGTAGAAACCAGTCATAAATAACTTTTTTCAGTGCCATTATAACTTAGAATGGTCACTAAACAAATACTTGTAAGTGGAGGACTACCTGTATAAAAGACTATTCCCCTCATTAAGTAATGTCTACAACAGCCACTCATTGCTCCGTTCCCCAATTACTTGTTTCTATATTAAATGGGAGTCTGAGAATTCACACAAAGGAGATCAACCATAAGCAGAATATGTAATAATTAAACTGATGTTTAAAAAATACTTGACTTTTGAAGTGGCAGGGAGAAATGGCAGCATAGTTTTCAATAACTATCTTATATAACTATTATATGGCTGATTAAGTGAGTTGGTGTAAGGAAATTAATAAGCACTAATGTTAACAATTCCATTTCCAATCCAGATGATTCAGGTGTTAAAAGAGAAGATTTCTTCATTGTCTGAAAACCACAGAAAAGCTCTGGCTGCGGAGATGGATGAAATTATGTTCACAGCAGCAGGAGATGTGGGCATTTACTATGATGACAGTGGTATGTCTCCATTCTATTTCACATTCCTTATAAAACACAGAAGCATTCCTCAGTCTTTTAAAATAGTGCTTAAATTTTCTTTTCTATTTAATTATAGTGTTCATGTTGAGCACCTGTCTGCTACTTTTACTTGTTTCTGGTTTTATATATATTTTATTGTGCTAGCAATCTTTTGCGCCAAAGTAAACTCAAGTAGTTATTATTATTTTTTAAATGGTACTGAAAATGTGATCTAGGAATCCCTGGAGGTTCCTGAGACCCTTTCAGAGAGCCCGTGAAGTGAAATATTTTTTTAAAAAAATTCAGTTTTAATTTCTACTACAGTAACTAATGGTAGACATAACCAACACAAACCAAAATTCTCTGGGGTCCTCAATCATTTTTAAAAATGTAAAGGGATCCTGAGATATTTGAGAACCAGCTTAACTATGAGTAGGTAGGACTTTCGGTACTGCGCGGTAGAGACCGGTTGCGGGCTTGCAGATTTTCTGCACCCCCGTGGCTAATTTCGCCCTGCCTGGGTACCCTAAATGGGTCTAAATCACCCCAGAGAGACAACAAAGAAAGAAGGGTGCTCCAGCGATTCTGGAAGGGCGGCGGTCGTTCCGTTCAACTTGGGGAAAACCTTCTAACCCAACAGGAGAAAGGCTGGCATCAACCAGCCCAAGCTACTTGCAACCAAAGTCCAAAAGCACTAACCAGCACAACTGAACAGCGTGCTTCAAACTGGGTGAGGAATTCGATCTTCTCTTTTCTATTCTACATTTAATTTCCTGGAAAAGATCCCCAAGAAGCAAAGGGAAGGAGGGGGATTTCCGCCCCACCTTTATACTAATGGAAGCAGCGAATTAATCTTTTTATGGAGGATCAAAATATATGGAAGTGAAATAAATATAAAACCTGAAATGTAAAACTTAAATCTGGATAAATCTAAAATTGTTTGAATGGTTCAGACTCTCATTCTAAAGATAATTGTTCATTTTGGAAATTGAAAAACAAATAGTTGCTGACACCTAGTGGTGGATGGAGACTATGATTGTTTTACAAATGTAACCCAGACAACACACTGTTCACCAATTAAGTGATTTATGTTTTAAAAAAATCAATAAAATATATTACAAAAAAAACTATGAGTATGTAATGGCTGAAGAATCTCATACAAAAAAACCCACAGAATTCTGCCTGTTTTTTTGCATTGGGTTAGCTTATAATATTATTAGTCTGCATTCTGCTTGTCATGTATGTTGTTATATATTCAGGAAACTGTGGACAAGTAAATTTTGGATTTGACTGATACATGAACCAAGTATGTGGTAATTCATGCTTTGTCTCTGAAAGAGGCTTTGGAGCCACTGCTATCCTCACTAATAGTTTTTCCACAATAGTTTGTATGTTTGTGTGTGTGTGTGTGTGTGTGTGTGTGT